ACAAATTTTGTTATTAAACAATGGCAATCGTACTAAATGAAACAATCATATCTGCATACGAAAATTTATAGATAAAAAAAAGTTTGTTTACATTGCCATGCCATCACGGAACTGTTTAATATCCATTTATTTCTATTTCACCGTAAATTAAACTCGGTTTTTAAAATAATTTGTCTATAAAAATGCATTCACTTAAGTAATATTAGAAAACGTAACTTCTCTTAATAGTTTATGACTAGCTATCTCATAAATATACTAGATAGAGTTTTGAGTTGTCAGGCAGGTAACGATATGTATAAATTTTGAACGCACGCCTGATCAAATCCATTTAATATTTATTACTTTACTTTTTGCTTCAAAAGGAAAAGAAACAAGAAAAAAGTAAACGTATGCCGATATACAGATATACAAGGTGGTAAATAAAAAATGCAGTGCGTAAAATATATATTATTTATTAATTAATAATATAAAATTGATGTGATTTCTATGTAATTATAATATAAAATTCGAGCTGAAAATATGTAATTAGTCATTAGCTTTAATTCAAATTAAATTACATGTTTGTCCAAATTTGCAATACCTCTAATAATTATTTTACATCCATAGCATAATGAATCCTACTTTCAAGTATCAAATTTAATTATAATAACTAAAATAGTATCCATCCCAAAATTGGTAACTTGATCCAACGTTAATTAATACACAGTTTGTATTCAATCAAATATGCAGAATCAGTGACATGGCGTTGAAAACATTATGCTATTATATTTTTAAAAATATTAACGTTATTGATAAATAGTACACATCTTTATGAAGAGTTTTCAATTGATAATACATTATTACGAAGAAGAATGTTATTTTCTAAAAATTAAATTTAAAAAATGAAACATTAAATAGTTATTCTATAAATATATGGTTATATAAAAATATTCAAACTAATTAAACATTTTATAACTATTTAATGTTATATTTTTAGGAAAAATGATTAACTTTTGTTTGCATTGATGTATTATTAATTAAGAACTATTTACCAATCAATATATATATATATATATATATATATTTATTTAATCTATTTGGTATTAAAAAATAAAGTAATAATTAATATCGAAAATCTAATTGCAATAATCAATAGCAACAACAATCGTCTCGATAATTTTTCAATATACTATATTGAATATACTTTTTCAATCGTCCTATAGAGCAGAATTTACGGAAACAAAAATTAATAAAATCCGTTCAATCCAACATACTCGTCTCTTTTTCTCTCTCGACGTTCCTTTACTTTTCCATCAATCGTTCACGTATTATTCCAAGCGCGTGTACTTGCAACCGCGTGAATACGCGCTATGTATAGAAATGCGTGCATAGACCGAAGCAGATGGGGAAGGGGGCACTTAATTTCGAGCGTTTCCCTCCGCCATTAAAACACGGAACGCGCGCCGCCGCCTGTTTCCGTTCGACAAAACATTATCCATTTGCTCGTGACCGCAACGGCTTTCGTCCCTTTCCAAACAGTAATGTACAACTTTAAAGCTCCCGTCTCTCCGTCACACACACACACACACACACACACACACACACAACACTCTTTTCCCCTCATCCTCTTTGAGTTTTCCAACGATATCGCTAGCGGCGGCACAGGAGGTCAGTAGAAAAAGTCCCGAACGTGCCGGGCACTTTGTATTGTTCGGGTCTTTTACCGGTGGCGCTGCGCCTGCATTTTCCTCGCGGTTCTCTGATGTATGGACCTTTTCTTTCTAACGGTATTGCCCTTTTCTCTTGTGAGATCATAAATATCGGCACCTGAAAATTGCAGAAATGGAAGGCGTGCTTTGGTGCCTTAAATTAACAGTGGACATGGACGGCGTAAAAGTTGCTTCATTAATAATCGTCATTAAGCGGATGAAGTATTATTTACGCCGTATAAAAAAAAATCGCGCGCATTTCTTTCTCTCTCTCCCTCCCTCCCACCCCCATACATACATAAACGAGTATTAACTTTGTTATTTAGATTATTTCTTGTTACCATTATTTAGTCAATACTTTGCGCAATATTCATAAATAGAATTATTTCAAGTCCATTGTTATTTCTTTTTTTTTACTTCTTCATTCAATCTATTTAGTTTGTATATTTGAACAAAAAGTATACCAAGTTAATCATAATAAATAACAAAAATTCGTTGAGCTCTTACTCAATGCGGTCCAACCCATGTCCCAGCATGGATGATTGATATAACCTGAAAGAGAAGGAAGAAAGAAGATGATTATTAATTTCACGATAAAATGCAAAATGTATTCTGAACATTTATAATGAAATTACACGCACTGGTCCATATTGCACGCACTGGGAAACTTGATTTTAATAACGTCTTCCAATTATAACTTCTCATTTAACTTATAAAAACTAGAAATTTAGTATGGATCTTTAATTTTTCAGCAACTATAAGATAAAATGATAATACCCGAAGCTACTTAATGTGGATTTATTTTATTTCATAAAGCAAAATAGCTCCCCGATTACAAAATAAAGATGTAAAGAATGCGTATGAATACAGTTTATCTAATTTTATCTTTTAAATTGATATAAAATTAAATAATTTCGCACGATAAGAGATTTGTTATTGTGAATAGCTAGAGAATATAGAATGAAGATAGAGCTCTAAAATATTTAAAGAGTTTGCTTATACAAACTGCCCATACCATCAAAAAGATAAAGGCGGGGTTTGATAGATACTTTGCCGTAGCTTTTAAAGTAAAAATTTTATTTTATTTTTGTATTTCAGAAAAGAATACTTTAGAGTAGATTTCAATTTTTTTTTACTATAAACTGTAAAATAAAATTTTACTCCATTAATATTCAATCCTTTTGTAACAATATGTATTTAACCTACAAAACAAAATAATTATGTTGAAGTTTTTAGACGTTATTTTAATAAGTTAATAAACATGTTTTTAATATTAATTTACAAGAGTTATAATTTTATTAATTAAAATTATTGAATAAAAAACACATTCCAATTGTGAAAGATTAATTTCATACAAGATGCATATCAATGATAATATAAAAAATTACGAATCAAAAAATATATTAGAAATATATTGTATGATCCTTTTTCAATACTTTCGTATGACGTAAATAAAGCTTTTCATTATAATTATTTATATTTTATCGGAAATAAATAGAAATTCCGTAGAAAAAACACAATGTAGAAATTGATTCTAAGAGTTATTTGATATATTTAAGGAAATCCGTATCTTATATTTAAACAATAATATTTAATTACATACTTAATTACATAATTAAAATAAAATATAAATAAAATATAGTAGCAAAAAAAAAGTATCGAATGCAAAAACAATCGATTCATACATTAAAACTGATGGGGACAAAAAAAATTTCTTGATATTAAAAAAGAAAATAAATAACAAATTACCATATAATAACATTATTACTATAAAACAAGTTTTTTATAGACATTGAGATGATGCATATATATATATATATATATATATATATATATATATATAACCTGATATAAAAATGTAACAATTTTGAAATAAGCGGAACATAAAACTTTCAAAAATAAAGAAAAGCTTAACGCATTTATATCTTTCCAACAACTAAACCAAGCGACTCTACTAATTTATAGATTATAAAAAACGTAATATCAATAAAATTTGCTATCCTTTTTCATCTCTTTAATAGTGAAGGATACCCATCATCTACATAAATTATTGATTGGTGTATTTTGCTTCGTAAAATATTGTTGTTAGAGATACTTAACTATTTCATATACTGGTGAAGATCTTTTCTGATTAATGATTATTAGAGTCTGTATATCAGATGGCTTCGAACACTAAATTCTTAGGTAAAATATCACTTGGTGCGCAAGAATATGATTTACAAGCCTTTCAATCCGTAAGCGAATATTATATGAGGAAAAGAAAAATGTTATAAAAATGTTGTAATTAATCAAGTTCGAGCAGCTTTATTTTATATGGCTTAGTAAAAAATATCTTGAAAATTATGTAAATTGAACTTTACATAGACAATCGGAGTGTATTTAATTTATATGTTAAATATGTTTATATAAGTATTTATTTATAATCCAGACACAACAGCTTAAAGAATATTATTTTAATTGCACTTTATCATAATATCCATAGATCCGCGTATAATATTTTTAAATATACAATGAATGTTTCATTAATCTATGAAATACTTTCAAAGTTCGTATCCAACTATCTAAAAAAATTTCCATAATTTTTATCCTTTAATAATTTGCATCCGTAAATATACTCACTTAATATTTCTCATTTTATCTAAAATATTCATATCAGTCTAATTCATACAATAAAAATTTCTTTATAATAACAAAATATTTCACAATATTCTTATAAATTTATTAGCAAGAATCAACACGATTTCATTCTAATGGTTATTAGTATTCACCAAATCATAATATTTTATCTCAAAGAACACTTAAGGATTTACTTTCACAATAATAAACAAAAGTATATTTTTAAAACCTTTTATTACAAACAGAAATAGATTATTTTGAAATATTCTATTTGTTATGTCTTTAAATTAGATATCGCAAATAATGTAAAACAATTTTTTTTTTCGTTTTTGTTATTCTGTATGCCATATCTTCTAAAGTTCGGGCAATCTAATTAATATACAATTTTTGCTTTAATTTCATAAACAAATTGTCGGTCGGGCGTATTTGTTGATTAATTTATATATAAAATTAAATTTACTATTAATCGATAATAATAAAATTATATACAACTTTGTTAGTGAAGTTGTAAAACGGTAAGTATAAATTTTGCAAACATAAGAACCCAGCCATTGCCTCCGGTCCAGCCATTTTATAATTGTGTGTCGTCTCTGCATTTTCTGTATATTTATTGTAATTTATGAGCTTAGTCTGCATATTAAACGAAATGAACTGCATTAATGAGCATTTATTGCCATTTTTCTGTCATTAGGCCCGCCAAGGTTCCTGGTGAAGCCTCAATCCCAGACGGTGAAAGCCGGTGGTATCGCCAGTTTCTTTTGCAGCGCCTCGGGTTCACCACCTCCACAAATACATTGGCGTAAAAACAGTAGAAAAATTATGCGTAAGTAATATTGCTTTTGAACTGACATTTTAATCATTTATTTCAATGCCACATAACTTATTTTGCAACAATTTACTTTTATTTAGAATCGTATAAGATTCATTTTATATGAAATTATTGTCATCGAGTAAAACATAATTAAAAAATAATTATTACATTTGGAGTTATGCATAAAGAACGAATATTTTACAAATATATTTAATTATATCTGAAATATATAATGCGATATTCAGTATTTTTCTTATTTATTTAAAGAATTTTACCAATTGTTAATTGTAAAATATTAATGTAGAAAAATTAAAAAACTTTGTACATTGTACTTTTGTTTTATTTAAAATTTTATTCACATTTGGGTAATTATTTAATCCTTCGTTTAATTTAAAAGCAACAAATTTTTGATCATTTTCTGTGCACCTTTTAAACGCATGCATATTTTGTTAATTGCATGTCTTCAATTATTTATTTTCAAAGTATATCAAAGAACAGCATTTAATACAGCTGAAATATTTTCTTTAATCAAAGAGTTTTAATAATAATTATTACCGTAGTGGCCTTATAAATTCCTAAAAATTTCATTCAACAAATTAATCAATTTGTTTAGATAATGAAAAATCTATGAATCTATATTACAATATTAAAAGCATCGTTTTCATAAAAAGAGAAAAATGATAAAACATAAATATCTCATCGTAATGACGATATGCACGATGTTCAAGAGAACGAAACAGAAAAAAGAAATATTTTTTTTTTTTTTTCAAACCTATAAAGCTTTAACGTCTGCTTTTTCCAACTATTTTTCGTACAAGAGAGCTGACTTTAATTTAACTGGATTGTTATCTCGCTTCGATTCATTTGTCGTTGCATTGCAGAAGAGTGATAAAACTTGCGTGGAAACTGGCATCGAAAATGTGCCAATTACTTGTAATGCCTACGTAGGTGTTAGCAAATTAAGATGTACTTAAATGCAGAGCAATGAGTGCCAATACAACGCAATGTTAGGGAACAATGAGCATCACGTAGTCAAAATTCATGCAAAGCGAAATTGAAAATCGATAAGCAATAGCAATATTATGAAAAACATAACGATGACAAATATTCGAGAGAAAAATGTGCCGATAAATAACGTTACTCTATTTACATGTGCATGTTGAATATTATTATGGTTCTTATATTATTAATAATTCGATATATACAATTTGAATACATTTCCCATAAACTTAAATAAATATGAATTATAATTAAATTGCCTATGTATATATTAAAAAAGATATGAAATGATTTTATGCACAAGAATTATAGAGATTACAGAGTTTAGGGAAAAAAGCAATTAAGAATTTGATAATTTTATTTAAATTTGAAAAAGTTGTCGTATGGTAAATGTATTGATTAATCGATGTTTTATTACGAATAATAAGAGTGATATTAACAAAAATAAATGAAAATAATGTGGGAAGAATAAATAAACATTTAAAATATTTTAGATATGGAAGTAAAGATTTTAAGATTATCTCGATTATCTTCCAGTGATTTAAAATTGAAAAAATATTTTAATTAACGTCTAGTTTTAGTGTATTTATATATATATATAAATATATAATATAAATTGAAATTTTATGTGGATAGAGTTCACAGATTTTGTATTAATATTTATGCTAATATTAAATGCATACATATTAAATATGCGCAATATTATTAAATACTTTAATATAAACATAAGTTATAAATGAATAATAGTACAATAAGTCAAATATTGAAGTTGAATAAAAGAGGATTAATTAAAAAAAAAAAAAAAAGAAAAAAAAAGTATTCCTGCAACTTTTATAAATTTATTAAGATTTAAAATTTAATTTATTATTAAAGTAACAGTATTAATTTATTTTAATTTATGTTGATTTATGAAATGGATAAAATTTAAACTACACGGAAGAAAATTTTATTTGCCTTAAGTCAAAATAACGAATGGATTTCATTATATACAGATATATTTGATCTGTTAATGCCAGTATCTCCAGCATATCTTAACCTAAAAAAATTATTTACTATGAAATGTAAATCTATAAGTGCCCGACGACTTCTACACTTAGATTAATAGAAAATGAATAAAATGTATATTTTATGTTCGATAACCCAGAATATTAAATTATAATTCTAGTTTCTTCTTGAAAACTTTCATACGACGGAAATAATCGATATTGTTATAATAATTGTTTTCATATTCATTTGCATACGATATACATGTTAATTGGTTGCAATGATATTTTCATTTGATTAAGCTTTACGCTTGTCAGATGAAAAATAGTTGATTGTATCTAAATGTCCAGATATTAAAGTATTTATGAAAACAAAATGTAGTATTTATGAAGAGTATAATGAATAAGATAACAATAATTTTCATCTACAGTGCGAGTAAATTCTTATATTAATTTTCTTAACAAATTGCATACTGATCAAGTAAAATTCACAATAGATATACGTATTTTAGCACTCAACCAGGCGGACCGGTTGACAAATGACCATCATTGATGCACACTAATAGAACCAATCCTTGTTGAAATATTTGCTCTTTAATGCTTGGAAATACGATGCAGTAAATTTAGAAGAGAAATGTTCACAATAAGACTTCTTAGTAAAATACCTTCGTCCTTGTATTAGATTCAACTATCTAAATTTAGTATCAACGCTCGAAATAATCATATTCGGATGATATCCCAGTAACAAACCGTTAAAATAAGTAATAAAGAAAATAATAATTCATTTTATTCCAATCTAGTGAACTATTTGCGAAGGTCTATTTTTATTATTAAACACATTTAATTGGATATTGTAAAATAAATTCGCTTTAAAATTCCATATATTATATAATTATTATATAATCTTGGCTTTTCTTTTAAGGTGCTGTTTTTCTTTTACTTTTTTTTTTCTTTTAAATTTTCTATTTATTAATATTATTATAAATAATTGCTTTGGATTGAATCGCTTACTTATAGTATACCACTTTTGTTTCGTTGAATTTTTGATTATATAATTTATCGATAATATTAATTTATCCTTTATACTTGTGTCATAATAACAGTAAACCAAATTTAATCATTTGAAATTTCTTCAATTCAAATTCAATACTTCATAATGCTTTATTCAACGGTCATAAACGTATACTTAAAAGTCTGAGTTGTCCAATCCACTATGTCACTAGTGCCAACTGAGCGTTCCTGTAGCACACTCAACTTTTGCTAATAAAAAAGTTTGTATCGTCAACTAATGTCAAGCATTGCCGCAATGAAATTTGATTGGTAACATTCAGTGTTACTAGAATTAATGTCAGTTATACTTAAATGCCAATTCACAGCGAAAGAGAGTTCCCAATGATTACAAATTATGAACTTATAAGAGAAAATACAAAAGCTTCATACAATAAATAATGTTAATAGAACGAACTACTACTTTAATCATTATAAAATATTATAAAATATCAAATTAAATCTTTATTATAGACGCACAATTAACTGTAAATGTAATAAATCAAATTAACATAAAATTATATATCTTATATAATGGCATCAAATATGAAATTTCGTAATTTTAAATTATGATGTTACCAGTCAACTCCGTAATACATACTTTTAGCGTGAAATCGAGATATAAAATTGATATAGTAAATGATTACAGAAACTTATAATGTATCGTTATATTGTAAGAACTATTATACTAATGGTTTTTATACTATTATTCGCGTCTATTACACAGATGTTGGAAATTGGAGGAAAAATTATTTAAAAATTTCTGAAATTTTCTTTCATTTAACATTCACTATTCTCAAATCGATTACTTATAATATATATCTTACAATGATAATATTATATCCCCTGTTAATCTCCTTTAAAGCACATTTTTCTTTTTAAAAGGCAATTCAATTGAACTAAATAGTATTTTCATAACATGATATAATGTAAGTAATGCAATTTTAATCAACGATCATTCAATTTTACCAAAAAGATAACATTGAAGCAAAATATAAGCTTGTGTAAAATGATAATTTAACATTGAATAAAGTACATTGAATAGATTCCCTCTATTGAATAATAACTGCGTTATCCATAAGATAGATTTAAAGCAGACGTTGTTAAAGTAGATCGCCATATTTGCCAATTAAAGGGTTCAATGGGCCGTTGGCATAACTATAACAATAGATGTTAGCATCGATATAAAATTCGAGCGAGTTGAATCGGCTCTTCTCTTGCTAATTTTTTCAACTACAATCGCTTTTCACCTGAGATTGAAAAAAATTGGATTAGCCGAGGTATAATAAGTAGCGTTAAGATAATGAAAGAGTAAATAAGGTGCACGAGCTAAATATGAAGCGTTTGCGTATTTATTAATTTCCTTTCGAATAAAGCGACAAGTTTATTGAAACAAAACAAAACAAAACAAAACAAAACAAACAAAAAAAAAATATATATATATATATATATATATATGGTATTCTTTATATTATATACATTAAAGTGTCAATTACATATAAATAGCATCCACGAATGAACTATACGTCAACCTATTAATAAGTCAATATTCACATTGATTAAGTATTCAGGTGAAAAAAAATTTTCTTTTTCATAAATTCATGTTTCATGATTTTGTCGAGAATAATAGTGGAAAATATGATGAAAACGTTATTTAATGGTTTTTATTACACGATGATGTACCTCTTTATTACATATATTCATCTCCATCAGGATAATATTTAAAAAAAGGATGAAATTAAAAAAAAAAGTAATTTTCTACAATAATTATATAATTCTAATAATTATACTTATAATCAATATCCAACTTAATCTTGATCAGGCATTAATTGCTATCTAGTTTCAATTAACGTTTTCTCTCTATATTCACGCTAAATTTTTAATCATCAATTTGTTATATTTCGTATGTAAAGTAGTTAAAAAAACAAATAATAGCGAATCTGCTTCAACAATTATATTAATGTAAAAGTAGTTTGGTAATTTTGAAAGTGACATTATGGGTATAAGTAACATTGAACTTTCAAAACAATTCACCGAGTCGTAACTTCAAAAACTATTATAGAGAACAGAGTATTAAAAGCACCTTAGACTATTAGAACAACTTAGAAAATAACTTAGATAATATTTTTCTATTGAAGACATATACGTATTATGTGTGTGCGCGCGCGTGTGTGTGTGTACGCGCGTGTGTGTGTGTGAAATAAAATTGAACGTACGATAATTATGCCATTAGAAAATCTAGAAGAATCGTGATAATATTAATAATAGACAAATGGCGTCTCGTAGTAATATACAAATTTTGTTTTCGACACGACAGCAAGAAATCTATAGCCAAATTTCAAGCAATCATTAATCTTAATCATCGATAAATCGATTTTCTATTATTACCATACTTAGATATTCTTGTTGTATAAAGCAGTCGAAATAAAGAAAAAATTCTATTCGTGCCCGTATTTCATTATTATTGTGCTTATATTAAAGGCCAATAGAATTTGCATTTTTATGTGCAGCTAATAAATTGATATTTTTAAATATTTGGCTCGATCAATCATTATAAATACGGTCGTACATAATTATCATGAAAAATCCTATCACTTATAAGATTTTAAATGAAACCCATATGAAGAAAAAAAGTCTTTTGCAGCACGCAATAGTCCTGCTTTATAATTTCCTCTGTTTTGGAAAATCTATCTATTGATCAATTATTGTGATGTACATTCGAAACTCCCTTTGCTTTATTCACAGCAAACCAATCGCGATTCTTGGTTCATCAGTATGCGAATGGCACGTTGTTGCGAATCGAACCGGTGAAAATGGCACGCGATAGCATCGAGTACGAGTGTCTTGCAGAGAATGGCGTTGGCGATGCAGTTACAGCGACTGCAACACTCACAGTTTATGAAGGTAAGCCAATGAATTTTTCACTACTTTTTCCGCCATAAATTCTCGACTTCGAATTCGAATTCAGGTTGGAAAATTCACTTATATTAGGAGTGCTTAGAGAGTCGCTGGACGAGCGCTAATATGACCGAATTCATTCATTAAATTCGTTGATTTAGACGAGAAATGTAAAAATTCATAAAAAAAATCATGAACATTAATAAGGCATTTCCGATGCTATTCCCTATTAACAAGGGTATCTCTTTTTTCTCTCTTTAGTTAGAATTTAGATTTAGATTGACTATTTTGATCTTGTAATTTTCTAATAAAATCGCTACTTGAAAATACTATTTAATACTGCTCCTAATGCCAATTCGTAATATCTTTGATGTGTTTCTTTAAGTGTCCGACGAGTAATCGTTGTAATAATTGTCCGATTAAAAAGGTAAAAAATCAAACATTGAAGAAATAACGGAGAGAGAAAAATGTCTTTGACTAAATGACGAATAAATAGAATAACTTACAATTCGATCTATTAAATGACTTTCTTATTTAATATAATTTTCGCCCAATCGAGACGTTATTCATAAACTCAAATATTTAAGCCAATCGTCCAAAGTAATTTTCCGCTAATTTCAAATATACTTAGTCTTGAAACAAAGAAACGGGCACATTCGTATGACCTTATGAATCGAATATGAATTTATGAATCCGGGTGATTCCGCCGACTTGGAAATAAAGAATTTCCTTCCGAACGTTTGGCCCTGGCAATATTGGTAATGTTAATATAATCCTTATTTAGTGGATGATATATCTATCATAAAATGCCGATAATTCTACAATTAAGGCACATCAAAGAAGATTTTACATTAAAGCGCAGACTTCATTATTTAACGCGTAAAGCGTCTCAGGACGTTTTATGAGAAGCCGCAGCCCTTTACTAAGAGATTTTTATTTTACACCGCCATTGATAATACGGACCTTAAATTATTACGACCTATTTCGATGTTATTACAGTAATAAGGAATTTTGTTAATATCTAAGAAAGCATAATTGAATAAAGTAGTTTTGATTATAATTGAGTGCAGCTCAATTACACAATAATCCTTAAAAACACAAGTATCTATATGGATGGAAATTTAAATTTAATTACTCGGTGCATAATCTTGAAAGTTAAAGTACAAGGATAATTTAAAGTTTTACAGCAACTACATTTCATCCCATTATAATCAGACATCCAAAAGTGACGCCTGCACTTTGCCTTTTTGAATCCATTAAAATATCGCCGTCCTCTCCGCACTGCAGACATTACCATGTAATTTTATACCTCCGATACTCAAACCGCCATTCGTCTAAGGCGTCACCTCATTGGAATAAAAAGAAAACCCTCCCCGTGCTAATACGCGGCGCAACACATTTAATCGGCCTCCCTTAATATAACGATTAACCCGCGTCGGCGTGCAGACGCTGCAACGGCTCCAGCGAAATTAAATACATCTTTCTGCCCTCTCATCCCTCTTAAACTTCGCGTCCCAGGACTCCTCCCCCTCCATTTTACGGAAGAACGAGCATCTTAATGGCGGACGGCGCTGCCTCCGCGCCAGCGACCAGACGGAAGGACGCTTAATGGGAAAGAACTACTGCAAGGCGCTTGCCTTCCGAGAACTTGCGTTCCCGCATCTGCCAGAAAAGAAGGAACATCTCGCTCGCTCCCTTTCTTAAATGGCTTAAACGCAAGCTCGCCTCCTTTCCTCCCTTCTTCCCTTCCGCCGTTCATCGCTCTACGCTCCCCGCAAACCCCTTCGAAACTCGACCGACACGCTAGGACCTTTGAATCCCTTTCGTTGTCGACATTACATCTAAGGACGAGAGGGAGTTATGGGCGGTGGTGGAAGAGGAACGAGAGAGGAAAGTTAGACGATGAAGGTAAGCCTTAAAGCCTTTTGTTTGTTCGCGCGGAGTCTTTGTCGGTAGGGGGAGGCCCCCCCCCCCGATATTTTAGGCGACATTCGAGGTGGATTATATATATATATATATATAGTTTTCATAATTCCTACCTGTGAGTTTATAATTTCGATACTCGCCATTCTTTCCTTTTATCTATAATCTATTGGTTCGCCTCACACTGCTTCTTACAAACATTTTTCTACTCAGAAGAAAATTACCTTCTCTCCGGTTAATCGCTACTTCTACTGGTTAAACTTAATGATAAACTAATTTTATTTCTATTTAACCACACGTATACCAACATGTACGATATTTTCTATATTATCGAAAACTTTATAACATTTTATGTTTTGTTTTTTTTTTTTTTTTTTTTAATTTTATACCGTTACTCTCTAATGCTTACAAATACATTGTAAAAACAAGTTGAAAAACATGTATAAAATTTCTACTTAGCTGAGTTGTGGTTGTTAATGTAACGTTTCTAATGACTAGTTACACACGCCGTAAATAATATTTATTAAAAATGCCATTTGTTCGGCAAATAATTCAAATAATTATAAACACGATGAAGTTCTTGGCACGACTATTTAAGAATATATAAATCAATTATTGAGAGTATCTATTTGTCTTACAACTATTTATAAAATTAAAAAATAAGGTGTCTACGATAAAAAAAATTAATGTTTAAAAAATTGCTGTGGTATGTTTTAAAAATTACAATCTTAAAATTGCTTTGAGAATCTACTTAACCTGTTCCTTAATTGAGAAATTAACTAATGAAGTTACAAGTGAAATGTTGATCCTTTAAGCCGTGTAAAATTTGTTGAAACGATGAAAAGAATGTAAAAAGATAGGTCAAATGATGAAAAAAGTTTTAGATGAATCTTGAAAATTCTTTTTCTTAAAAAGTTTTTAACTAGGTTACTTATGAATAATTATGAAATTGGAAAATTTTGATTTAAAAATTAACGATTTTATATGTAATTTTTCGATTTTCTTCAAATTCATACTATGATCCGGTTGAATTATAGGCTTTTTTTTTTTTTTAAAGCTGTTGTCCCATATTCCAGAAGATGCTAAATTTGTCTTCTTTAGCACCGAATTGGCACCGAATTAAATATAACTTTGAACAAGGAATTCGAATAGTGTGAGAAATTGCGTATTATTATTGAAATAACCACAGTCACCATTATCCGGTAATTTTATAGTAATTATTATATAATGTGTACATTTTTATTATAATCAATATTATCCACAGACATTATATAAGAGTAAAGGTCGGTAAAAGTTTAATTACACTTTTAACAATGCAAACAAATACTATACAATTGATCCAAACTTATCTTTATAAGCCTTGATAGAAATGCTCCGTGTATACCTCTCGTCAAACATAATAGAATCACTTTCCGTCCTCGCGTAACCTACATTTCTTTTTTAAACCGTCCGGAACTTCACTATAAACAAGAAAATAAATAAAAGAAGTCACTATAACCCAATCCGCAACATTTCCAATTCTTACGTTGTCAGTAAAGTCAGAAAACCACGAAAGGGATGGAAAGAGAGAGAGAGAGAGAGAGAGAGAGAGAGAGAGAGAGAGAGAGAGAGGAACGGAGGGTGAGAGATAGGTAATAGGGGATAGAAAGATATAGAATTCTAGCGAAAGCAATCCATTGTTGTCGTCTGTCTGGCATTCCAAAGAAGATTCCGCTTGGCTTGTTCCGCATGCAGCAATGAGTTTCCTCCGAAGACGCTGCCACGCCAATCTCCCTACTGTCATCGCCCTATAGAACTCTCTTCCATGCCGTTTCCCCCTCCCGCCCTCCAATCCCCCAATCATCATTCTCACTGGCCCCACCATGCCCGCTCGCGTTCCCGCGCCCACTCTCTTTCTCGCTCGCCGCTTCTAGTATTTCCCTTTCCTCTCACTTTCCATCGCTTTCGTTGGGATAGCATGAGCTGATAGTCGTGGCACCACCGCACAGTGAAGGTAGTGCCGGAATTGCACCGGATATAGCACCATTGGATTTGTCGCTATTGTTACTTCCGCTAGAAACGCGTTCCAGTCGCTCGCTCCCACTATAACCCTGGCAATATAATGAAAACAAGCCCAATGTGGCTGTAAACGAATATAGCGCACGTGATAACGAGGAGACAGACAGAGAGAGAGAGAGAGAGAGAGAGAGAGAGAGAGAGAGAGTAAGTTAGAGACAATTTTCTCATTTTATTCGAAAACGAGCGAGAAAAGGAAAACAGTGCAAGAGCTTTCCTTGCGTTTCTGATTACGAGATCCTCGACTCGAGTTACAGGATTCTATTGTATAGTGGAATGGATATAAGTCGAATAGTTACAATGTTGCTGCGGTGAGGTTTAACGCGATCGTTACGTCCTTACTGTTTTCTCTGTTGATTCCATATAGACGTTTCTCTTGCTGGTGGTTCCGATCTCATTACTAAAATTGCTTACTTCATTACGTGTAAACGGGAATTATTAAGCATACATATATGTTATTTTAATCATTTTATTTATCTTTTATTTTTTTTTATTAGCTACTGGGATTAAGCTTTCGAGCTGTGATAGAATCGGCTAATTTTCAACCGAATATTGCAACACATTACTGTGAACGGTTACTGTCGATTATATTCATAGATGATTACATTCATATGAGGTACTTTAAGCAAGTACTGCAAATCGTATAAAACATATGTATTTTTAAAGATAAAGTATAAAACAAATTAATAATACTATAGTTGATGAGGTTTTATTGAATTATTAATAAACGGTATATTGCAACTATTCGAGTAACAATGGAATTATTATAAATTGTATACTTATATTCATATTATGACTATATTTGACAAATTTTACAAATTATATAGAATGCTGATTGTAACAAGGCCAATGCTTAACTATAAGAATACCATGAGATAGATGTGAATTCCTTTTGAAATTCTGAAGTATTTAAATTCTACATAATGTCGTGACACATATCCACGCATTGAAAAAGATTTGTAAAATTTAATGAACCACCTCTAAAAATTGTTCAAGCACTGAGGCTTTCATGCCGTTACTTTTGATAA